CCGCCAGGATACGACATGGACACTTCTTACTACGTTCCTTTGTGCTCCACGGATCCGGACAGCAAATATGATCTGGATTCCGATGAGCACGGGAAGTACATCGAGCTTTGCTTCACAGCAGACATGTCCAAAGTCGTCCTGTCCGAGCAGCAACACCGATTGTTGGATGACAGCAGCGTCACAACTATGCGAGTATACGTTAGTGCTGCCTCCAAACGTGCCGTGGTCGTCAAGGAAGACGATCTACTCACGAAGGCCGACATTCAAGCGAATCCGGTCAAAGTTTCCAAAGCCCTTTACACAGAATTGAAGACTTGGCTTGACAACAAATGCTTCCAGATGACTGACTTGAGCAACGCGTCGAACATCATGAATTCACGCTACGTATACAAATGGAAATTTGTCAAGAACGAAAAGGGCGAAATGGAACGGACGATCAGGTTACGCTTGGTACTCCGTGGCTTCATGGACATTGAAGCCTTCGATGTCGAAACCTTCTCTGGCACGGCAAGGAGGTCAAGCCAGAGACTGCTCGCAAGTTCTGCTGCATGCAACAAAGCTTGGATCATCGCTTCCCTGGACATCAACATGGCTTTCTTGAAGGGACTGACCTATAGCGAGCTCGCCGCGGCAACGGGCGAGAAAGAGCGTGTGGTGTGCTTCACACTACCTCCTGGGTCAGCAGCTGTCCTTCGCACACTGCCAGGCTTTGAGTCATATGACGAATCAAAGCATTGTCTTCGGTGTCTGAAGCCGGGGACGGGCACGAAGGATGCTCCCAGGGCATTCTCGTTGAAGCTCAGGTCCATCACTAGGAGCTTTGGACTACAGCCTACTTCATACGACGAAGAGTTCGAGATGAGCTCAAACCTCTTGACAGCCAAACACGTTGATGACATCAATATGACTGGGAAGGAAGATGCTATTGACAAGTATGTCAAGTGTGTTGAAGATACGTTTGGAAAGTGCAAACTGAACAAGCACACATGCACAAACTGTGCCGTTCGGTACAACAAGACCGATGATGGGAGCGTCACTCTTGATCAGGACGAATACATCAAACAGCTTCGTCCTATCACACATCCAGAACTCACAGGCGCTGATCCTGAGAGCAAAGCGACAAAGACGATTTCTGATATGTTCGTCAGTCTTCGTGGCGCTCTAGCCTATGCGTTGATCACGCAGGTATGGCTGATGGTCTATGTTGTCTCACTACAACGTATCCAGGAACCGACAAACATCCAGGTACGACGACTAAACGCGGTTACCAGGAAACTACAGGCAGGTCCGAAGAAGATCGCGTATCAAGCTATGACCTCAACAGGAGAAGTCGACCTGCATAGCGATTATGGCTATCGTCGTCTCAACGGAGATGAAGACGACGAAGTCAAAGGCTATGGTATCCGCGGGGCTAACCTGCTGAGGCGTGGCCACACGCAAGCGGGGAAACCCGTCGTGCACCTGGTGGACGCATACTGCAAGTCTCATCGACTGCAGGTGCGTTCGAGCTACTCTGCGGAAACACTGGCAGCAGCCCACAACTTGGAAGACTGCTACCCGACCATTGTAACGCTCCACGAGCTACACTCGGGACCATTGACCCCCACACAGTTAAAGAACATATTGGAAATGGGTGGTCTATGTATCAAAGTCACTCTGACTATTGATGCCGAGTCCGTCTTCAAGTCTTTGTCTAGCAAAGATCTGAAGAAGCCCACAGAATGTACTCTGCTTGGGCACATTAGCTGGATCCGCCAGATGATGGAGCGCGGAATCGTTGAAAGCGTTCAATGGTGTGACACGCGGGATATGACTGCCGATGGTCATACCAAAGGTAGTATTGACCGCGCGTTGCTCCTACAAGTAATGGCCGGCCAGCAATCCTTCAAGCACGAGCTGAAGAAACATACTCCGTATAGGGCGGGCAGGTCGTCTCAGGACGGCCCTGCCTCCCGAGCTAGCGGGGAAACCCGCATGCAGGTGCGCTCTAGTAGCGAGGAAACTCGCCGGTAGCGAGGCTACTCGCGCGCCCTTGCCTTGTAGGCAGCCGCTGTTGCCTAGCACTGTTTTTCCGTGTAATGTAGAAGTGCGGTGCTTGCTCGTCTCCTCCCCCTCCGACTTTAAACGGAGAAGGTTAAAGGCGAGATGTATATCGAGCATGCACCGCTGCCGTGCCTGGCTCAAGCCGGGCCCGGCCAAATATGTGATTGTGCCTCACCGAGGCGCACTACTTGTATCTGAGATCGGAAAATACCTTTTCCATTGACGATGCCCCTTCTATCCTTTACTTCAGATCCCATGCTTCGTCTTGCTCTCTTGCTCATGCGATATGAGCCAAAGCCTGGGATATGGGAGCGCCTAAGGCGGAACATATATCTAAGCTTACCAGTGCGTTTTCGACTCCCTCTTGGGGGCTTCTTGGGCGATCTTGGGGGCCTCTTGGGCAGTTTTGAGCCGTCGGAATGCCGAGAAGAAGCAAATCCCCAAATCCTTCAAAAACCTAAGGCAACTCAATGATTTTGGCCTCTTCGGGCCCTCCTGGACCTCTTGGAGGCCTCTTGGGCCGTCTTGGAGGCCTCTGGGGGGGGCTCTTGGGCCGTCTTGGACTCTCTTGGGCCGTCTTGGAGGCCGTCTTGGACCATCTTGGGCGGACTTGGAGGCCATCTTGGACCATCTTGGAGGCCATCTTGGGCCATCTTGGCCATCTTGGGCATCTGGGGCGGACTTGGATGCCATCTTGGACCATCTTGGAGGCCATGTTGGGCCATCTTGGCCATCTTGGACGCCATCTTGAGCCATCTTGGGCCGTCTTGGGCGATGGCGTGTGCGTCTTACGGGTCTTGGGGGGCGGCCGGCTGGACGGGCCGAAACCCATTGGGAGAGTTCTTTTAGAAAAAAAACAAAACCAAAACCGAAATCGTCCAGCACGCCAGGCACCCCTGCGATGAATCGACAGGGGGCGGCGGATCTATGTGTCTTCGGCCCATCCCGCCGCCGTGCCTGGGGTGTGGGTCAGAGTAATCAGGGACGCGCCTTGGAGTCTCTTCGGAGCGCTCTCGGGGGCAGTTTTTGGGCCTCTGTGGGAGCCTCTTGGGGGCCTCTTGGGCGCCTCTTGGGGCCTCTCGGGGGCCTCGGGCCCCTTGGGCTTCTCGGGGGCCTCTTGGGACCTCCTGGGGGCTCCTCGGGGCCATGAGCTCGAAATGCCTACGCGGGTCCCCCATCAGGGTCCCCTCTTGGGGCCGTCGTTGGGGCCTTTGGGCGGTCTTGGGCGTCTCTTGGGCCATCTTGGGTCGCTCTTGGGCCGTCATGGGGGGCTTTTTTGGAGGCCTCCTGGGCCGTCTTGAGTCGATCTAGGGGGCCTCCAGGGCCGTCGGGAAGCGCCGGGAAACAGAAAAAGCGAGCACGCCATACATTTTCAACGGTCAACGGACAAGCAATGATGCTGGCATCTTTGGGCCCTCTTGGGAGGCCGCTTGGAGGCGTCTTGGAGGCCTCTTTGACCGTCTCGGGGCCGTCTTGAGCGTCTTGGAGCGATCGTTCGGCGACTTGGGCCCCCCTGGGACCGTCTTGAGGGCCCTCTTGGCCCGTCTTGGGGCACTCTTGGGCCCGACACGGTCACGCGACAAGTCCCAAGAAGACGCGGGAAGGCCCAGTAGATTTGTGAAGTTGGGTTCTGGGCCTTTTGAAGATTCGTCTGGAGTGCGTAAGTGAGAGAGAGAGAGAGAGAGAGAGAGAGAGAGAAAAAAATATAGATCAGGCAACATACCTGAGGACACGCCCATTCCGTGCCCGGCGGCACGGTGGCGGAGAAGGATGGGCCCAGCACCGAGGCCGACCAGCATGAGGGCGACGAGCCCGTAGTCGATCGGCAGGCCTCTTGTAATCAGTAGCGACTTCAACTGTGCTGATATCTGTTCCCTTGAGTCTTTTGAGGGCTAGTTCTGCGAACGGGTACATGATGAACAAGTCCTGGGCCCAGCATCCCAGTCCTGCCAGAAACGGGACTTTGTGGACGTATCTCGTCATATGGAAGTTCGTCTTTGTGCGTCCTTATGTTTACGAGTCTTTTTGCAAAGGGCCTGGAATTGGTGGTTCAACATAATGAATCTCAGTGCAAGAAGCTGGATGCGCATCTTGCTGAAGCGGAGAGACAGTTGAGCGAAGATCTTCGGATCATTTTCAGCGGGTGCCAGCTAAACCCCGTCGGGAGGACAGCGGTCAGTGCCATGACGAAGGATCTGGAGTCGCTAATGGCAGATTAGCTCGCTTGTAAAGACCAAGTGGCTAATGACATAGCTGAAGTGGGGGGGCAATCTGTCTCTCAGAGATTGCGCCTGAAGGTTTGGCAAAAACTGACGGCTGCACTGAAGCACGGACATGAGGGCGTGACGGGAAGCCTTGATAGTCGACCGTGCAAGGATCATAGGGCCATCCATCGGAAAGCGGAAAGGGGAGACGCGTGTCGAGCGCGCTAGGCGCCGAAGGTTTGCATCATTTGGCATTTTTTGGTTGATTTGAGCGCATGAATTATGTTGTGCCTTTTGATCGGTATATCTCTCTACTTGTGTGCTGTTGCCTCTCTCGGCCCGCTCTTTCTGTTCCATTGCCTCGGCTCTTTGGGCTCCCCGCTTGGCTTGACTCTTTCGCTCCTTCGGCTCCCCCCTTGCAGGTCAGACATTCGTACCTGGTTGATCTGAGCTCTTTCCTCAGAGCTTTTATCACTTCAGGCAATGCTGTGTGTACCGCACTGCTCTGGGCGCTCATTGGCACGCGGGCCCCCCTGGCCCACCCGAGGGAAGCTGTGCGCAAACAAGTAAGTCGTCGTCGTTCACGTCGTCGTCGTCGTCGTCGTCGTCGTCGTCGTCGTCGTCGTCGTCGTCCTCGTCGGCGGCGGCGGCGTCGGCGGTGGCGGCGTCGGTGGCGGCGTCGGCGTCGTCGTCGGCGGCGTCGTCGTCGTCGTCGTCGAAGACGTAAGCTGCAACGTCCGGGGTTCCCGCCAGGCCGGCTACCCGCGCGACGTGCTGAGGGGCTTCGCGAAGACGCCCCGGCTGCGGCCGGGCGAGTCCGAGGCCGCGGCCCGGGAACCCAGAGGGGGCGCGGAGGGGGCGCGGGGGGGGGAGCGAGGGGGCGCGGAGGGGGCGCGGGGAGGGGGCGCGGAGGGGGCGCGGGGGGGGCGTGGGGGGCGCGGGCGAGCGAGCGAGCGAGCCAGCAGAGGTGCAGCTGGATCAGTGCAGCCAGCCCGCAGCATCAGGACGGGCAGCCTTCCCAAGGGTGCCCTTGCGTCCTCGCGTCCTCGGTCCATCCTTCGCCACCTCCGCTGGCCGCGACCCGCTCGAGAGGCTTCGAAATGGGCGTCCAAGGCCCTTGCATCCTTGTCGCGCATCCCTACTACACGGGTTGACTGTAGCACCGGGGCGCCAGGCAGAAGGAAGACAGCGGGAGGATGAAGCAGGAGGCTCGCCCATCCCCTTGCGAGAGCAGCTGCGCCGCAGCGGCAGGCCAGAGGCCAGGTGGCTGCACCCTCCGCGGGTGCACTGCACACCACCGTGCGCAGGGAGGCCCAGCTCTGGCGGGCACGCTGGGGCCGCGCTGGAGCGGAGGGGGAGGGGGGGGGGGAGCAGGGCAGCGGGGGGATGGGGTGTGGAGTTGGGGTTTGGAGCCGGCTGGGGGACTGGGGTGGCCCAGCGTTGGTTCCGGTCAGCAGAAGGGGAGACAGGGACCCCTCGTTCCCAGAGCTGGACGCGGGCCGAAAAACAGGCCAGTTTCGACCCCAGGAGGGACAGATTTTGAGTGAGTTTGTCTTCATCTCCCCTCTTGACCGATTTCCTTTTCGCTTGTCCAGCTCAGACCCCAGCCGCCTGCACGTGCGGGGGTGGGTGGGTAGGATAGTGGAGGTGGGGAGGGGGAAGGGGCCGCGTGGGGGAGGGGCTGCAGGGCCGTGGGGCAGGGGAGGGGGATGGGGGGAGGCGGGGCGGGTGTGCGTGTGCGTATGCGTGTGCGTGTGCGTGTGCGTGTGTGTGTGTGTGTGTGTGTGTGTGTGTGTGTGTGCGTGTGTGTGTGTGTGTGTGTGTGTGTGTGTGTGTGTGTGTTTGTATAGTGTGTGTGTGTGTGTGTTGTGTGTGTGTGTTGAGTGTGTGTGTGTGTGCGTGTGTGCGGTCCCTCCGCGCGGCCGCCTTCGTCCTCGTCCCCCTTCCTTGCCTGCCGGTCCCCTTGCCGTTCGCCTGCCCAGAGGGCCACGCGCTGGGGGGCCGGCCGCCCCTGCCTCGCCGCCGACGGAGAAGTTGCGTGCGTGCGCGTGTAAGGAGGAGGAGGAGGAGTGGAGGAGGAGGAGGAGGAGGAGGAGGAGGAGGAGGGAGGAGGAGGAGGAGGAGGAGGGGAAGAGGAGGAGGAGGAGGAGAGGAGGATGAGGAGGAGGGGAGGAGGAGGAGAGGAGCGGAGGAGGAGGAGGGAGGAGGAGAAGGAAGGAGGAGAGAGGAGGCTGGTCGGTTGTTTCTCGCTGTGGTGTCATCTCGTCGTCTCGCCTCTCCAGTCTGTCTTCCTGCTGCTCATGGAGTCTTCCTGCCTGGGCCAAGAAGATCTGGGACAGGCTCAGACGCAGAGAGTATCGGCACACCGCAGCGGGTTCCTCTCGAGTTCTCCGAGTGCTGGCCACTGAGCCCGTGCCCTAACTCGTTCGGCTTTGCCTCGGTTGCTCGTCGGAGGATCTTCGGCGCGCAATGTCTTGCGCAGGAGGACGAGGAGGAGGAGGAGGAGGAGGAGGAGGAGGAGGAGGAAAAGGAGGAGGAGGAGGAGGAGGAGGAGGAGGGGAGGATGAGGAGGGGAGGAGGAGGAGAGGAGGAGGAGGAGGAGGAGGAGGAGGAGGAGGAGGAGGGAGGAGGAGGAGGAGGAGGTGTGGTTGGTGGTGGTGGTGGTGGTGTGGGTTGGTGGTGGTGGTGGTGTGTGTGTGTGTGTGTGTGTGTGTGCGGGCCGCCCGCCGGTGTGCCCTCCTGCAACTGGCCCGCCTCCCCACAGCCCTGTCGGTCGCCAGTCGCCTCCTTGGCACCTCTGCCAGCGGCCCTGGCGCGTGGCCCCTCCAGCTGCCGCCCCGCCCAACGCGGCGCTAGGCAGCATCGCATCTGAGCATGTTGGAGCCGAGGGCTATGCCCAATTTCAGGAGTGCCAAGGAGACTGCTTCTCACAAGCCGCCCATGCCCTGAATCTCTTGTTCTCAATTTCCTGATTCCCCAGGAAGATAACCAGTGGACGCTTCAGCATGCGAACGGATCAAGGGGTGGGGCTCTGAGGGGTGGGGTCCTCAGGGCGAGGTGCCTCAGACCCTTGGGTCCTATCCTCAGAAAGAGCGTATTCTACCGCTGCTGGCGGAAAACCGGGGGGGGGTCACTATCGGTTCGAACCCCTCCCCCCCCCCTCCAGAAAACCGGGGGGGGTCACTACTGGTTCGAACCCCTCCCCCCCCCCCAGTTCATCATGAAAGGGGGGGGGGGTCACTCGGTTCGACCACCCCCCCCTCGAAAACCGGGGGGGGGGTCACTACCGGTTCGAACCCCCCCCCCCCTCCCTCGAAAACCGAGTGGGGGTGTGGACAGTGGTGGGGGCGGTGTTGGTGGGGACAGTGGTGAGGGGACAGCGGGACAGTGGTGGGGACAGTGGGACAGTGGGACAGTGGTGGGGGCGGTAGTGGTGGGGACAGTGGTGGGGACAATGGTGGGAACGGGGGGGACAGTGGACAGTGGTGGGGACGGTGGTGGTGGGGACAGTGGTGTGGGGGCAGTGGGAATGAGGTGGAAACAGCGGGACAGTGGAGGGTACAATGGTGGTGGGGACAGTGGTGAAGGCGGTGGCGAGGACGGCGGTGGGACAATGGGACAGAAGTACAGTGGGGACAGTGGTGGGGACAGTGGGGACTGTGGTGGGAACGGTGGGACAGCTCAGTGGGACAGCGGAGGAGTCAGTGGGACAGTGGGGACCTGGGTATTCTGGGTCCCCATGGCTGCTCGTTTGGCTTCTGCTTCTGCTTCTCGACTCCGCCGTCGCCGTTCCCCGCCATCGTCTTTCTCACTCTTCTCCGCCGTTGTCTGCGAGGAAGCGCAAAAATGGATTACAGTGGGAGCCCATGCCAAGAAACACCCTGCGTGACTCCAGGGTGCCCTGGGTATTCTGGGTCTCCATGGTTTGGCCATGGGAAGGCGTGGCGTGCCCGCGCCGAAAACCAAGGGACGTCCTGGGGTCTCAGGGTTGGGCTTCTCGTGGGAGGTTTCCTGTGGACCGGCCTCTACTGCAGGGCGCGTCCAGACGCCGAGTGGGGCTGCACTGGCTTCGCGCTCGGGGGGGTGTGCCTTTCTGGATCCGTGGATCCGGCTCCCACGCGCCGGATCCGCGGACCCATCATCCGTGTTAGCCCGCGCCCGGCTCCTCCGAGCCCTCCTCTTCCTCACCGTCCGTCCCGATCCAGACGGGGCAGGCGACGCGAGCGGGGCCCCCGATCAGGCCGTCGTGTTCACCCTGACAGGTCGGGACATCTCGTACTACAGCGTGGGCAGGCCGTGTCCCGTCTGCCAGCTTTTTTTATGCCTTTGGCTTGCCTCTTTCTCGTACTCGTCCCCTTCCTCATCCTCACGCTTTTCCTCCCACTTCCTTTCGCCATCCTCCTTCGCTCTTCCTCCACCTCATTCTTGCTCCTCTTGGTCCTGCGCCTCCACCCCCGCTCTCACCTGCCTGTTTCCAGTCCTCCCCAACTCACCTCTCGTCTCTCCCGCCCACCTCTCCCTCTCCCTGTTCCCTCCTCGCTGCTCCCTTCTCCCTCCTTCGCCCTGCTTCCCTCCTCCCTCATCCATCCTGCTTCCCTCCTCCCTCCCTCCATCCCTCTGTCTTTCCTTTCCTCTTTCTCCCCCATGATCCTCTGTCCCGCTCCCGCCCTTCCCCTCCCCCCCCCGCGCCGCCCTTCTCCCTTGTTGCCTTCGCCCTTCGCCCTGGGCTCCCTCCCCTTTCTCCTTCCCGCCCCCTCCCGCTTGCCCTCCTGGCCGTCTTTCGGCGGCGGGCGAGGGGGGGAATGAGAAGGAGAAGGCCATCTCAGAAGGCGGCGGGACTTCTCGGCAGCCCTCGCACCTTCTGAAGCTTCTTCTGTCTTCGGGGCAGGCTTAGAATACGTCTCAGAAGGCCAGGGGACTTCCGAACCTTCTGAGAAGGCCTTCTCATTCTTCTCCCTCCCTCCCTCGCTCGCAGCCGAGCCTTTGGTTCGTAGGCCCTGCGCGTTTTTCTGTGTTTTCGTTGTTGCTTTGTTTTTTGTTTTTTTTATTTTTTTCCCGGGAAGGGCTCGGGCCCAGGGTTCTCTTTTAGTGTGTTTATCCCTGTAGTAGGGCCGGCGAAATTATTTTGCGATAAATGACGAGGTCGCGTTGGGTCGGCGAAATTATGTTTGAGGATGTCTCGAGCGAAACGCTTGTTTTGTCTTATGTATTGTCCTCTCCTGGGGACCTGAATTCAGAGGATCTCTCAAGTGAAATGCTTGTTTTCACGTGCCCAGGTCTTGAGGATGTCTCGAGCGAGGCGCTTGGTTTCATGCCTCCAGGTTGCCCAGGCAGAGGTCTAGCGCCAGGATTTGTTGAGGATGTCTCGAACGAGGCGCTTGGTTTCACGCGTCCTCGTCGCCCAGGCGGATGTCTAGCATGAGGATGTGTGGCGGAAGTCTCGATCGAGATGCTTGTTTGCACGTGTCCAGGTTGCCCAGGCGGATGCCTAGCGTGAGGATGTGTTGAGAATGTCTCGAGAGATACGCTTGTTTTCACGTGTCCAGGTCGCCCAGGCGGATGTCTAACATGAACATGGATTGAGGATGTCTCGAGCGAGACGTTGGCTTTCACGTGTACAGGTCGCCCAGGCGGACGTCTCTAATGAGGAGGTGTTAACAACTTCTCGAGCGAAACGCTTGTTTTCACGTGCCCAGGTCACCCAGGCGGACGTCTCACATGAAGATGTGTTGAGGATGTCCCGAGCGAACCACTTGTTTTCACGTGTCCAGTTCGCCCAGGCGGATGTCTAGCATGAAAATGTGTTGAGGATGTGTTGAGCGAAACGCTTGTTTTCACGTGTCCAGGTCGCTCAGGCGGATGTCTAGCATGAGGATTTTGACAGGATGTCTCGAGCGAAACGCTTGTCCCCAGCACGTTCCGTAGCGCGTCCCCTTGGCACGTCCCGCGGTGCGACTCCATGGCACGTCCCCTGGCACGTCGCCTGGCGCGTCCCTTGGGACGTTTCGCGGCGCGTCCTCCTGGCATGACCCCCTGTCAATTAGCTCTGGGGCAGCTACTACGTGTTCAGGCAGCTCGAGCTTAAGGTTCAGATCAGTTCGGTCAGGACTCGGATGCAAAGGAGCACTCGATCCACAACGCTATAGAGCACAATCGCGGCATGGCACATCGCAATTCAGCACGGCGCAGCACAGCACAGGCATTCGGCAGGGTACATCAAGATCGATACACTCAGCATTGCATCTGCCCGTCACCCAATCAGGTGTCTTTGAAGACGTTGCCATGCGTTACATTTCTATATTCCTGTCCGGGTTCGTGGGTCGATCATGCTTGTTTTCCGTACCGCGTCCGTCTGCCGATGTGTTCGGCGTCCTTGCCTTCGAGCCCGCGCCCCTCCGCCCCGCTCCCCGGGGAGAGCGCCGGCGCTCCGCGTCTCTGCCCGAGCGCGCGGCGCCCGCCGAGGCCAGGGACGGGCGCACCCACCCGCACGCCCCGCCTGCAGGCCAGGGGGGGGACCAGGGCGCAGACGCGTGCTCCGATGCTGGGCCCGGGGGCTGCCTGGCCAGCCTCGGGGTCGGTGCACAGCTGGCGCGACCTCGCTCCTCCTCCTCCTTCATCTCCTCCTCCTCCTCCTTCATCTCCTCCTCCTCCTCCTCCTCCTCCTCCTCTTCCTCCTTCTCCTCCTCCTCCTCGTCCTCCTCCTCCCGCTCCTCCCTTCCTCCTCCTCCTCCCCTCCCCCTCCTCCTCCTCCTCCTCCTCCTCCTCCTCCTCCTCCCTCCTCCTCCTCCTCCTCCCCCCCTTCCTCCCTCCTCCTCCTCCTCTCTCCTCCTCCCCTCCTTACTCCTCCTCCTCCATCTCCTCCTCCTCCTCCTCCTCCTCCTCCTCCTCCTCCCTCCTCCTCCTCCTCCTCCATCTCCTCCATCTCCTCCCCATCTCCTCCTCCTCCCTCCTCCTCCTCCTCCTCCTCCTCCTCCTCCTCCTCCTCCTCCTCCCCTTCCCCGCCTCCTTCTCCTCGGGTCGCCTGCGGCCCCGGGGGAAACCGTGCAACCTCGCTCTCTCTCTCTCTCTCTCTCTCTCTCTCGGCCAAGAAGTCAGTCATCCTCGCGTGGACGTCCCCGCTCCAGGGCCGGTCGGCCCCGGGGGAGGGGGGTGATATCTATTGGCTTCTTGCCCGGCGACTGGCCGGTCGGGGCGCAGAGGCGCAAGAAGCACAAAGCATAAGCCGCAGGAGCTGGCGCCGGCTCCTCGCCTCTCGTGCCCGCCCGTCTGGCCAGGCCTCCTCGCCAGTGGTGCCGCCCCCCTTCTCTTGCGCTCCTCTCCTTCCCCGGTCTCCTCCTGTGCCCCTCCTCCCCGCTGTGTCTCTCCTCCTCCACGGCCTCGCCCTCTCCACCGCGCTTCCCGTCCTCGCTCGCTCCACGCTGCCCCCGCCCCGACCTCTCTCCCAGGCTCTCCCCCTGCCCCTCCCCGCTCCCTCTCCGCCCGCTCCCCCTCCCCGCTCTCCCCTCCCAGCTGCCCCCGGCTCCCCGCTTTCCCCCCTCGGTCACCGCTTTTCCCCGGGCCCTGGGCCCCCCCTCTCCCCTCGTCCTCATCAGTTCTGCCTGGTTTTGCGCGCTGCCCCGGCTTGAGGGCTCCAGCTCTGTGGGATGCCCCGCCCAATAACACCTCGTTCCCCACAGAAGACAGTGTGTGTGAGAGAGAGAGTTTTTTTTTTTCCCAACCATCCTGTGGTGTTGGGTCCTCGTTTTGAAGAGACGGTGCCCCGCGTCCTCCTCTCCTCTCCTCTCCTCTCCTCCTCCTCCCCCCTCCTCCCTCCTCCCGTCATCATCATCATCATCGTCATCATCGTCACCATCATCGTCGTCATCGTCATCGTCATCATCGTCGTCGTCATCATCGTCATCATCGTCATCATCACCATCATCGCCATCATCATCGCCGTTATCGCCACCATCATCATCATTGTCATCCTCCTCATCATCATCAGCATCATCATCATAATCATCATCATCATAATCATCATCATCCTCCGCATCATCACCATCATTACCATTACCATCATCATCATCATCATCATCATCATCATCATCATCATCATCATCATCATCATCATCAGCATCATCAGCATCATCATCATCATCATCATCATCATCATCATCATCATCATCATCATCATCATCATCATCATCATCATCATCATCAGCATGCGTCCCCTGCACCCATTTCGGCACACCCCTCACACGTTTCGTGGCCCCAAAGGGAGCTCCACCGAAGGCCCCAGTGGCTGCGCTCGCATGCGGTTCCACCCCCCTTTTCGGCACACCCCTCACACGTTTCGTGGCCCCACAGGGAGCTCCACCGAACGCTCCAGTGGCTGCGCTCGCATGCGGTTCCAACCCCCTTCCGGCACACCCCTCACACGTTTCGTGGCCCCATAGAGAGCTCCACCGAAGGCCCCAGCGTCTGCGCTCGCATGCGGTTCCACCCCTCTTTTCGGCACACCCCTCACTCGTTTCGTGGCCCCATAGGGAGCTCCACCGAACGCCCCAGTGGCTGCGCTCGCATGCGGTTCCACCCCCCATTTCGGCACACCCCTCACTCGTTTCGTGGCCCCATAGAGAGCTCCACCGAAGGCCCCAGCGTCTGCGCTCGCATGCGGTTCCACCCCTCTTTTCGGCACACCCCTCACACGTTTCGTGGCCCCATAGGGAGCTCCACCGAAGGCCCCAGTGGCTGCGCTCGCATGCGGTTCCACCCCCCATTTCGGCACACCCCTCACACGTTTCGTGGCCCCACAGGGAGCTCCACCGAACGCCCCAGTGGCTGCGCTCGCATGCGGTTCCACCCCCCATTCTCGCACACCCCTCACACGTTTCGTGGCCCCATAGGGAGCTCCACCGAAGGCCCCAGTGGCTGCGCTCGCATGCGGTTCCACCCCCCATTCTGGCACACCCCTCACACGTTTCGTGGCCCCATAGGGAGCTCCACCGAAGGCCCCAGTGGCTGCGCTCGCATGCGGTTCCACCCCTCTTTTCGGCACACCCCTCACACGTTCCGTGGCCCCATAGGGAGCTCCACCGAACGCCCCAGTGGCTGCGCTCGCATGCGGTTCCACCCTCCATTTCGGCACACCCCTCACACGTTTCGTGGCTCCATAGAGAGCTCCACCGAAGGCCCCAGTGGCTGCGCTCGCATGCGGTTCCACCCCCAATTCTGGCACACCCCTCACACGTTTCGTGGCCCCATAGGGAGCTCCACCGAAGGCCCCAGTGGCTGCGCTCGCATGCGGTTCCACC